AAACACGGGACTTACAACAGGTAACCACTACTGTTGTTGTTGTTGTTGTTGTTGTTGTTGTTGTTGTTGTTGTTGTTGTTGTTGTTGTTGTTGTTGTTGTTGTTGTTGTTGTTGTTGTTGTTGTTGTTGTTGTTGTTGTTGTTGTGTTGTCTGCCAGCTAAGCGCGTATCGCCACTACCGCCACCAGGACTTTGACTTGGGTGTGCTCGGGCTGGCGAACGTCGGCACATACGACAACGTGGGTGGTCTCTGCGCAACAGTTGATGCTCAGGGGAACAGTCCAAACACGGGACTTACAACAGGTAACCACTACTGTTGTTGTTGTTGTTGTTGTTGTTGTTGTTGTTGTTGTTGTTGTTGTTGTTGTTGTTGTTGTTGTTGTTGTTGTTGTTGTCTGTTGTTGTTGTTGTTGTTGTTGTTGTTGTTGTTGTTGCTGTTGTTGTCTGTTGTTGTTGTTGTTGTTGTTGTTGTTGTTGTTGTTGTTGTTGTTGGAGGAGGAGGAGGTTCGTGTTGTTGTTGTCTTGTACGTCGACTGTCGGTTGTGTACATTAGTATCACAACAGTGATGGCGCTCACAACTCATCCTGTGCCATTTTCCCCTCCCTTACAAATACCGTTGGTGATCAGAGGTGAACTTTGGGACGCAGCAGCCGTTTCTTCTCCTGTCCCTCGTCACCACACACGAGGTCGGACACAACTGGGGCGCACAGCATGATGCCCAAGGCGACCCGGTCTGCAACCCACGTAAGCACATGTGCTCTGAGATAGAGATAGACAGAGACAGAGAGTGTGTGTGTCTGTTTCTGTGTTTGTGTGTGCGTGTCTTTGCATGTATGTGTGTGTGTGTCTATGTGTATTTGTGTTTGTGCAGGTGCATGCGACAACGGTTGCGGCACATCTCACAGATCTCGCCTCTTTCGTCTCCCCCCCCCCCTCACAATTATCAGCGGAGGCGGACGGCGGGTCGTATGTGATGTTTGCGACCTCTGTTGACGGGAGCTCCCCCAACAACGACAAGTTCAGCCCGTGTTCCATCGCGAACGTTCGCGTCGTCCTCGAATCACCAAAGACAGACTGCTTCTCCGTAAGTGTGTTTGTTTGTTTGTTTGTTTGTCTTGTGCAGCATGGATGTGTGTGTGCACATGCTAGCCCTGCTCACCACCGCCACGACCATCGCTTGTGTTCAGATGACGCCTGGTGGGGCGTGCGGCAACTACATTGTTGATGCAGCCGGTCTTGATGGCATGGCCGGAACAGACGACGACGAGGAGTGCGATGCAGGGCCGCTCGGTGAGAATGTGCCCCAACGCAGACAATACCGCGGTCGTGTGATGATGGTGGTGATGATGATGATCATGGTGGTGGTGATGATCATCATGATGGTGGTCGTGGTGGGGTGAGTGACGCAGCCGTCAGCTGGCGACACGGCTGGTCGCGTTTTGGCTGCATGTGAAGTTGTTGTGGTCCCCTCTCACTTCCGCCACCACCATCGTCACCATCACCGTTGTCATGGGTGCAGGCGACAATTGCTGCACCGCCGAGTGCAAATTGGCGCCCGGTGTCACGTGCTCCGACGCGAATGACGTGTGCTGCGACTCGTGCTCCTTCAACCCAAACAAGGTGCTGTTGTTTGTGTGTGTGTGTGTGTGTGTGTGTGTGTGTGTGTGTGTGTGTGTGTGTGTGTGTGTGTGTGTCTTGTGTGTGTGTGTGTGTGTGTGTGTGTGTGTGTCTTTGTGTGTGTGTGTGTGTGTTTTTGTGTCTTTGTGTGTGTCTTTGTGAGTGTGTGGTGATTATCCCCGGTGCTTGCGCGTATAATTGACACGTGCCGTGCTACGCTCGTCACACATTGCCATGCACGTCACTGCACCCCCTCTCCCACCTCTCCTCCAGGTCTGCTTCCAGTCGTTTATGACAGACAAGCAGTGCCGCGCAACCGCCCTCTGTGGCGACAACGGCAACACCAACTTCTCAACCTGCCCAGACACGTGCGTGCCTGTATACATGTGCGATGCATGCATGTGTGGATGCTTATATGTGTGTTTGAATGCGTGTGTGTATGTGTGTGTGCGTTTGAATGTATGTATGCATGTATGTGTGTGCATCTGGTTATTGACTCTCCTGCTTGCCCCTCATCGCTGTCCTCACATCACAATCAAATCACATTCCACCAATGTCCAGTGGGTACCAGCCGCTGGGAACCATCTGCCTCAGTTTGGGCGAGTGCGTCGAAGCTGACGGTGGGACTGCACGTGCAATCAAAGAGGCGGGGGGGGGCGGTGCTGCTCACACAAGTGGACATGACAACCACTCTCACACACGCACGCACACGCACACATAATTACACCAATGTCGGACTGTTACGATCTTCTCACCTCCCTTCTTCCATTTCCATCGTCATCACCATCGCCATCGATCACCATCATCGTCACCATCGCCATCGATCACCATCATCGTCTCTGCGCTCGCATGCGAATGTCCCAAGAAAGACGGTGCGTCTGTTGGTGACAGTGTGCGTGTGTGTGTGTGTGCGTGTGTGTGTGTGTGCGTGTGTGTGTGTGTGTGTGTGTCTGCGTGTATGTACACCTGTATGTGCATCTGTATGTGCATCTGTATGTACATGTGTGTGTGCTTTTCTCAGTTGCCGTTGTCCTTCCCACTACTCCTGCTGACTTGACGTGCGAGTGTCACGCGCGCCTGGTTGTTCAGACGGGTGCATGTTATGCTGTATCCACAACAGCAACGAGACGGCCACGCCATATTGTCCACGGTGCGAACACGAATGCCATACATACATACACATGCACGCACATACACACACACATACACACGCACGCACACACACACACGCACGCACACACACAACAGTACACACCACAGTTCAGAGCGTCTTTGTCCCATCCCTCCTCACGCATCACCACACCTACAAACACACACACACACACACGACTCCCCATACGCCAGCGGGTACCGGTGGCAGTCGCTGTTCAACACGGATGTGATGAGCGACGAGTTGGCGTGCTTTCCATCCACAGCGGCGGGGCAGAACGTCACCAACAGCACCGATCGCGCAACCGCTCTCACGCCATTCGCGCCAGCACAGAGCGAGGAGGCAGTGTGCACGGTGTGTGTGTGTGTGTGTGTGTGCGCGTGTCTGTCTGTGTGTCTGTCTGTGTGTGTGTGTGTGTGTGTGCGTGTGTGTGTGTGTGTGTGTCTCTGTCTGTCTGTGTGTGTGTGTCTGTCTGTCTGTCTGTGTATGTGCATGCGTGTGATTTCTGTGTGCTCGTGAACACATGCGCATGAAAGCGTGTGCTCGTTTGCACAAACGTCGCCCAAACCTACACCTCACTCCACCAATCCACCCGCCTCCCTCCCCCAACACACACACACACACACACACACACACACACACACATACATTTACACACATACACACACACACATCGCTGCGCAGCCTGCGTACGAGGTGCTGACGTCTCCAACATACGATTACGTGATCAACGGCGACGATGGTGATGCTGAGGCGCCCACAGCAGTGAACCTGGTCAAGTCGCCCGGGTCATTCTGCGACGGCGGACGATGCAACACTATGGGGACATGCGAGCAGGACGACGCATACAAGAACATTGTCAACTTCTTCGAAAGTCTCACACCGGAGCAGCTGCGTACGTCTTCTGCGTATGTGTGAATGCTTGTATGTGTGAATGCTTGTATGTGTTTTCCTTTCCTTCCGCGAAGCAATGTCGCATGCACTCTGCTTACACTTCTCCCCCCCCACACACGCACTCACACCGGTTTGATTCGCTCACTGCCAACGTGTCATATCGACGTGGCTGCAGTGTCGTGGGGGCGCTCCAACATCATTGCGACGTGCATGATCGCAACGCTGCTCATCTGGATTCCTGCCGGCCTCTGCATCACATTCTACGACAAGAAAAATGTACGTCTTGTTGTCACACACACACACACACACACACACACACACACACACACACACACACACACACACACACACACACACACACACACGCACGCACGCACATGCACACGCACACTCGCGCATACGAACGTGCGAATTGTATTCTCACAAGCGCTCTTCTCACTCGTGTGCGTGTGTGTGTGTATGTGCAGATGGAGAATTGAGAAGAACAGAAACGAGACGATAACAGCGATGACATTGGGCTGATTCGTGGGCGTGTGTTTGATGTCTGTTGCGACACCTTGTACCGTGTTCGTGTACGTATTTGCTGGGTGTTCGTTCATGGATTTAATTGTGGACGGTCGTAACATCAAACACCACGGCAATCACATGGCGGTGGTGAAGAGCACAATGGATGAACAAAACTGTAACATGATGAAAGGACAAAAGTGGAAGCCGTGCCAGCTTGACAGTGGCAATTGTCAACGCACGTGTGTTCACACACACACACACACACATGCACGCACACACGCATACACACACATGCACGCACACACGCATACACATGCACGCACACACGCATACACACATACAAATGCACACATACAAATGCACACATGTCCTTTACTGCGTGACTGCGACTATGGCGACGGCGAATGGGCTGAGGAACACGACGTTGTTGGTGACGGTTTCGCTTCTCGGCGGGCCATCGCCGCTCTGGAGATCAACAACGCGCATGTGTGTCGCGCCCATCACCCGCGCGCTCCCGTGCACATTCGATTTGTTCACGACCAACACCTACCAAGTTGAAGCAATGACGGCAGCGCAACGTCAGCAACACAGGCACAGTGTGACCCTTGAAGAAAAACAATGTACACACACGCGCACACACCATGCACACGCACACACACACACGCACACACAACAACAACCCTGCCTGCCTCACCTTCTTGTGACCGCCCTTGGTGACGTACGCCTGCGCATACAGGTCTGCATCACCCGGGTAGTCCGGCGGCCGCGCAAACCCGCCGCTGTCACGCGTGCATGCTGCCTGCACCACAAGGTCCTTGTACACGCCGTAGCACGGGTCGCCAAATGTCGGGTACGAGGCAACAGTGCACGCACGCTTGCCTTTGCACATGGCGGTGACAATGGCAGTCGTGTTGCTCGCATCGCATGCGCCCGTTTTGTAGTGCCCGCATGTTCCGGTCGGTGTTCCAAACGAAGCGAACGTGATATTGGTGATGACTGCATCGTCTTCATGACACATCAGCGATACATTTCCATACCCAACATGCCCGTCCACCTGGATGGATGGATGGATGTGTGTGTGTGTGTGTGTTTGTGTGTGTGTGTGTGTGTGTGTGTGTGTGTGTGTGTGTGTGTGTGTGTGTGTGTGCGTGTGTGATTTGACACTCGTTTGCGCAAGAGTGGAAGTACCAGCACTGACAGGCAATTTGCAACCATCATATCCACCACCAACAACCAGGCGTGTACCTTTGCACAGAGCGGAGAGTGTGGTGTCGTGCTCATTGTCGTGTGCACCAACTTGTCACCTGGCGCAAGCTGCCATCCACGCAAGCCGCATGTCACGCACGCACAGCACTCGTGAGCAACAGTGGATGGTGTATGGAGTCGTACGCGTGCATGTGCACATGATGTGAGGTCACGACGTGTGTGACGTGACGTGCAATAACTCACCTCCTCAATCATGAGCTTCAGCACCCAATACCGCGCATTCCCTGTGGTTTTCACACATGGATGCCAAGGTGAGAACAACAAGCATAAATGCCAAACAAGCGCCATTAGTCACGTCGCATCACATCACACCAAAACACCCCACTGTACCCCCGCCATCACTTTCACGATCACCACACCCCAATCACGCCCGCCACCGCCACCACCACTACGACCTTCGCCACTTGTCCAGTTGAGCATGGAGACAGACGGGTACTGCGGGTCTGGGATGTCCCATTCTGGAATTGGCGGCGACCCGGCAAGCTGCGATTCCCCAAGCACCTGATGCAATCGACACGCGGTGTTGGGGTGTTGGGGTGTTGGGGGGGGGGGTGTTGGGTTGGGTTGGAAGCAGCAGTGTGAAGCAAGGGCTCGGACGAAATTCAGTCGCGCAAGCATACACCACTACCGGTGCATTCAAGCACACACACATGCACAAAGGCAACTAACACACACACACACACACACACACACACACACACACACACACACACACACACACACACACACACACACACACAACTACGCAACTACATACGCGAGCACACACACACACATTCATACGCGGGCGCGCACACACACACACATATGCAAGTCAACTACACATGCCCGCACGTCGAGGCCGAGTTTCGTCGTTTCAGGGACGAGATAGGCATACATGGCGGCGGCGGCGTTCCAGTAGATGCGGGGCGGGACGGGGCTGGTGGGGTCGTTGTCGTCTTGGTCGCGCGTAGTTGGGGTTGTCCATGATAATCGCATGTGAGGGGCGATCCAACGAGAATGACGGCAGTGTTCTGCATTGTACAGGCGTACACACGCACATACATATGTACGCACGGCACGCAAACACACACCACACGCGCACGTTCACCGTTACATCATTCTAGCACACGGGGGCAGGGGCTCACGTGGGAGGATGACGCCGGTTTCATCACACGAGAGTTTCGTGTTGGGTGAGAGCTGGGATCGCAAGTGCGCAATCTTCTCCAGCTGCTGCAGGAACTGGTCTGCATCGCTGCAACAAAAGGGGGGAGGATGGGGGCAATCGAGCAAACGGTGCATACGTGGTGATGCACGCAATCGCAGGCGATGTGTTAGTCACAGCACACGCATGCAGAGCAAAACAGTCGAGGACACGACAACAGAGAAGCACACACACACACGCACACACGCACACACGCACACACGCGCACACGCACACACGCACACGCACACACGCACACACACGCGCACACACGCACACGCGCACACAGATGCACACCCGAAAAACGACGTGTATGTATCTGGGTCTGTTCTGTTTGTGCAAGAGGCGTAAAAGTGGAAAGAGACGTAATCGAGGGGCGTGTCTGGTGCGTGGTTGCTGTGGTTGAGGAATGACGCAATCCAATCAAGCGGCTGCCCAGATGCTGCAAGGCCAACAAACTTCAGCCTAATGATGGTCGTGGTGGTGGTGGTGGTGGTACATGGGTTGTTGTCGAGAGAAGAGAGGTGGATGTGTGCAACACAACACGATGGTACACGTGTAAACGCCTCCATATCCACATGTGTGTGTGTGTGTGTGTGTGTGTGTGTGTGTGTGTGTGTGTGTGTGTGTGTGTGTGTGTGTGTGTACACCTGTGGTTTGGGTCGGCCTGGCGTCGGATTTCCTTGACGACGGCGTCATACTGAAAAGGACAGCAAGGGAACGAGCACGTGCGTGTCAGAACAGTGAGACAAAACACATCCACAACACAATGCGCCTTTGGGAAACAAAAACGCAGGGCACCACCTGCCTGTCTGCTGCGATGTCATCTGAGCAAAAATGCCTCACCTGTTTGTTGTACTGCTGAGCGTTAAGGCCGTGGCACCCTTGTGGTTCATTGAACACCTGCACGTGAGTGAGCAGTGCGCAGTGACAAGGGATGAGTGCAACGAGGAGACGGTGGCCAGCCCTCACAGGGCTCAGTCAAAGGCGCCACGCTCACACAGCACACAAGCTACACGCTAGCAACACGGCACGCAAGCCACACACAACAACACGACACGCAAGGAACGTGCTATCAACACGATACAGCCCAGACAACTGTGCCATAAACTGACCTCCCAGTGGGTGAGGTTGTACTTGGGACCGCCGGTGTGGCGCGTGCCGTATTCGTCGACAAACTCGCCGTTGGTGAGCCAGGAGAGAAGGCGCCCATAGTATTCTGCCACGAGCCGCGTCGTGTTGGCACGAGCATTGCCTCGCGGATATCCAAAGTCTGCCGTGTTCGGGTCAGCAGGGTAGTCCCATTTCGGCGTATCATACTGAAGTGTGAATGTGCAGGGAAGAGCATGATGTGGCCTTGGGGTGAGCACACAGGAATCATTGCAAAACCATGATGGAAGACGCGCACATGCGCACGCACACGCACACGCGCACACGCACACGCGCACACGCGCGTTCACGCACACGCACACGCGCACACACGCGCACACACACGCACACGCACGCACACGCACGCACACGCACATGCACGCACACGCACATGCACGCACACGCGCACACACGCACATGCATACACGCACCATCCAGGTTGGCTGTGTGCTGAAGTTTGGAACGACGGTGTGACCCTTGCGAAGCGTGGCATTCATGACGAGCTCGAGCTGTGGCAGGATCCACTCAAAGTTCCACGATGTGGTGTTGGTCGCGGCGTTTGGCGGCTCAAGCTCAGCCACACCGACCTTTGGATATGGGAACCACGGCACGTACCTACGAAGATCGCGCATTTGTGTTGCAGTTAAAGGTCAGAGCGTGGTGTGCAAATCAGCCGCGTCAACACGTGCAGGACGGTTGCGGGGAAGATACAGTAGAAAACACGAAGCACACACAAACACACACACTCTCTCTCTCACAAACATACACACACCCATACACACAAACACACACACCCATGTACACGCCCATACACACACCCATACACACACCCAATAAACAGCCCATACACACACCCATACACACACCCAAGCACACAAAGACGCGCGCGCGTGTACCGAACAAGGTCGGCGTTGAGGGCGGCGAGGCTCTCCCCTGCTCGATGGGCGACTGGCGAGGTGGCTGGGTTGAGAATGGGATTGGCCACAACTTGCAGGGTTGTTGTTGTGTTTGACACGGCCACCACACGGCTCCAATCCACCTCCACTATCCCCGCTCCGCTCACCATCACCACCAGGCCAGGCGCAGCCAACACCACCACCATCGTGGCAAGGAGGTTCATCTTCCAAAGCGCCATTCTCATCCTCTTCCTTTGAGGTCCAAACGATGATGTACACACCGTGCACGCGCACTGACATTCACGCATGCACCAGCCAGTGGATCAACCCACAAGCACCACTGCTCTGCTGTTGCTTTCCTTTGCTTGCTTGCCCAAAACGCGTCCTTCCTTGTTTGTGTTTGCGTTGTTGGCGATTGGTTGGAGATTTGTGTTAATTTTCGCCTGGCTGCCAACACAACAGCCGCAAGCATCTCGTCATCAGCACGCCACGCACAAGCACACACCACCAACACCATCATCGCCAGCAGCCTCTGCGTTTGCCGTCATGTCTGGGATGATGAACAAGGGCGGGCGGATTGTGGAGCAGCCACGGGACTTGATGCGAGCACAGGTGGCCATGCGGCCCCATGTGTTGAGTGAACAGTGGCGCCAGAAGAATCCAAACGCAGCCAGTACAAGCATGCCGCTCAACGCGTACGTGGCCGAGTGGCAGTGGCACACCGGCACCATCTCAGCACAAGCAAACGCCGAGCCAGTTCGAGTCACAAAGGGGTTTCAAGGTGTGTGTCTGTGTGTCTGTCTGTGTGTGTGTCTGTCTGTCTGTGTTGTCTGTGTGTGTGTGCCAGTGTGTACCTGCATCTACGTGTCTGTCTGTCTGTCTGTCTGTGAACAAGTGAACCAAAATGGCTGCCTTTCCCTGTGTGGGCTGCTTTCTTCACCCTGCTTTCTTCACCCTGCTTCTCCTCACCCTGCTTCTCCTAACCCTGCTGTCCATCTCCCTGCTGCCCATCATTCATACCTTAGACACGGCCACGAACGGAATCGCTGCGGGTGAAATTCTGCTTCTTCACGCCAAAGTCAAGGACCGAAACATGATGTGCCAAGACGTGTATGGTCACCGCTTCGTCATTTCACTCGCGTGCAAGGCCCCATTCGTAAAGGTGCGTGCGCTTAGTTTCATGACCGTGAACACCCCTAGCTCTTTTGCGTCAGCGTTGCACCTGATGTGAATTGGGCGTGGCGACAACGCTTGTGCCTCATGCACACACACACGCCCAAGCGCACGCGCGCACACATATGTGCACACTTCAACAATACCCCCACCACCACCTGGCCACGCTCACATGCCCTTGACACCACTTGCTCTGCACAGCTTGCGGTGAACCTGGGCATTGCGCCCAAGGAGTGGAGTAAACAGCTGCCCGTTCTGTCACGCGACCCGCACCCGCGCCCCATCACGTCCTTTCTCAAGCGCGACGGAACCCTGGTGCGATGCACGTGCGAGTTGTATACACGACTGTGTGTATGTGTGTTCAACACTTGCCTTCTTCGCCGCAGCCATTCATTTCCCCCCCCCCACTGACTTGCTCACGTGCGTTTACATGTGTGCTCACACGACTCGATTGCAGGACGAACCCATCGCCGTCGCGCTCGCATCTGAGGTGACGAACCGCGGTGTGGCAAAGGCAAACTGCATCGTCTTCCTCAGGTCCGTTGTGTGTGTGTGTGTGTTGTGTGGTGTGTGTGTGTGTGTGTGTGTGTGTGTGTGTGTGTGCGTGTGTGTGTGTGTGGGCGTGTGTGTGTGTGTGTGTATGTGTGTGTGTGGGCATGCGTATGGTCGTGGATGAGTACATCCACAGCTGTGTGTGGATGCTTCCGTACACGTGCTTCCCATCCCCTGTTTGTCAACTCACACCACCCCCATTTCTCGACCAATTTCCACGCCTCTCCTCCTTCATGCTCATGCCGCATTTCTCCCATGGCATTTAGCGTAAACAACGACGCCATAGTCGTCTGCTCTTCGCAACGCGAGGTGAGATGCAAGGAGGCACACGACCATACGATCACATAAGCACAACCACATGCACGCAACCGCACACAGACACACATATGCAAAGAAATGCAACCCGCTCGTCGCTCACCCACGATAACGCGTGCTCGTGCCCCCTTCCCCTTTTTATCGCCACCTCCATCATCACCACCATCACCACCATCAGCCCCAGCACGCTGCCTCGTCGCCCAGCCTGATTGCACTTCCGCTGGATGCAGATGTGCGCGTGTGTGCGGTGCCGCCGTCAGAGGCGCATCACGAGTACGACGTGAGCTGGGGCACAGACTACGACGTCACCGTGGTGCGTGCACACAAAACGTAACACATGGTGTATTTGTATGTGTGTGTGTGTGCGTGTGTGTGTGTGTGTGTGTGTGTGTGTGTGTGTGTGTGTGTGTGTGTGTGTGTGTGTACATGAAATTCCCCATGCACCGTTGCTTCTCTGGTCAACACTGCTCTTGGACCATTATCATGTTGTTCCTTAATTGTCGTTGCAGCCCATTGTCTCACATTCACATGTGTGTGTGTGTGTGTGTCATCAGGGCGCCGTCTCTGACTCGGATCTGCGGAGAATCGGACATCGCATCCACTCCGACGCGCAACTTAGCATCAACAGCCGCATCCAAGCCGCCACCAAACGCCGCCCGCGCGCTAGGCAGCAGGTGCGCATCCAATGCGGAGCAAATCATGATGAACAAGGGAGTTGTGTTCGTGTGTGTGTGTGTGTGTGTGTGTGTGTGTGTGTGTGTGTGTGCGTGTGTGTGTGTGTGTGTGTGCTTGTGTGTGCTTGTGTGTGTGTGTGTGCGTGAGTGCTTACTTTCCAGTACATTGACTAATATGCCGTCTTCCTCCACCACCACCACTACTACTCCACCAAATCACCACCACCACCACCACCACCACCACCAGCAGCAGCAGCAGCAGTCGCCCTCGGGTCCGCGTCGCGCGTCGTCGAGCGAGGACGTGAGCCGCCGCCCCCGCTGGTCCCTGTTCGGCGGTGATCGCGATGGCGGTGATGGTGGTGGTGTTGATGGCCGCACACGAGGGAAGAAGAAGAACAAGAAGGGCGCGCGCAGTGGCGGCGATCAGTTCCCGCTGCGCAGCTACCCCTCCGCTGGTCAGTTGCAGTCCGGTGGTCAGGCAGGCCGCGTCATTGCCCTCCCACCGCCATCATCCTCATCCTCACACCACCACCACCACCACCACCACCAAGCAGCGCCACTCGCGTCGCCATCGTCAGCGCCAATGCGAGGCCTTCCACCATCCAATACCAACAACCACTGGGGCGACGACGACGATGACGACGACGATTATGTTCGCCCTGTGCCGCTGGCTGGGCGGTACGCGAGTGCTGATGACCTGCTCACGTCGGATGGATACATGGCACCGCAGCACCTGCCACGAGGGGAGGCGGAGGAGGTGTACTCTGTCGCCAACATCAACACCAGCGGTGTGGACCCGTTCAAGTACAACAAGACGGCGCACGCACATGCCAACAGCAGCACCAGCAACAGCACCAGCAACAGCAGGAGTCAACGGGCCGTGCCACCCCCTGCCAGCAGTCGCGTTGGCGGTGGCGATGTGGCTGCTGCTGTGGGCGGAGTAGCGCCACCGCCACCGCCAGCATCGCGTGCTGCTGTCCCGCCGACGCTTCCAAAGCGCACACATCAGCAGCAGCAGCAGCAGCAGCAGCAAGGCGGTGGCGATGAGGAGGAGTTTGGGTTTGGTGCTGGCACCATGGACCTGAACAGCCAGTGGCGCTGCCAATAATGATGATGACGACGACAACGACGACGTGTTGCTGCAGTCGCTCGGCACAATGCAGCTTGGAGAACGGATGGAGCGTCCACCGCCACGAAAACCGGAACACATTTACGGCGTCACTTGCACAGAAAATGACACATGCGTGTCTTGTTTGTCGTGTGTGTGTCTGTGTGTGCGTGTGTGCGTGTGTGCGTGTGCGTGTGCTTGGTTGCTCGTTTGTGTCGATGTCTGTGTCTGTGTCTGTGTGGACGCGCCGGTGTGCGTTTGCGTGTTTGTTGTCTGTGTGCAATTCCTTGGGGCCATTCTTAGGATGTTTTCGATGTGCTGTGCATTGCTTTTGCTCGATTGTGTTAACCCATACATTTTGTTGTGCACAAGCATGCATGCGTGTGGTCTGGCCACCGATTTCCTTTGTCATCATCAATAGATTCTAGCTCTAATCGCGTCACAGCATTGACACAACCCACCCACCAATATATGAGCGTGGCATCTCAAAGCTCGCGCGTTCGCATGTGTTCGGTCATTGCAGAGGGAAGAGCACACACCACACGTTTGCATTGCCAGTCACTCCTCACCGTGCAATTCGCTCAAGAACGCGTCCATGTCATCATCGTCCATTGCCGCAACTTCGCTCGCAATCCCGCCCTCATCAGCACTTGTATCACCACCATCCCCAGTCTTTGTATCAGCACCACCAGCGTCATCCCCATCATTGCCATCGCCACCACCATCATTGTCGTTGTCTTGCTTCGTTGGTTTCGCGACTGCTGGGACAGTGGCTGCTGTGGGCGTTGGGATGAGAGGAGTGGATTCTGATCGTGGCACATCCTCCACATGTTGTTGTTGTGGTGGTTGTGGTGGTTGTTGTGGTTGTGGTGGTTGTGGTGGTTGTTGTGGTTGTGGTTGTTGTGGTTGATTTCCTGGTGCCTTGTCTGGTGCCTCCCTTTGCTGCTCCTGCTGCAGCGGCGGCTGCTGTTCCGTCAAGTTCACCAACGCCTCTGCCACACTTCTCTCACTCTCGTCACCACTGTCACCCGCTGGTATGAGGGGTCTTGCCATATCCAGCGATGCCAGCCGTCGGAAAGGGTGCGCCGGCTTTCGTGGCGACCGCAGCACACGCGATGGCGGCTGTGGCGCTAACAAAGATGATGATGACGATGGTGGTGGTGGTGGTGGTGGTGCGTGCGGCACGGCTGCTGCTGCGCTGTTGGTGCGCGAAGCAGCAGCAGGTGCTGGCATTGGTGACGCCAGCATGTCAAACGCTGGGCGGTTGTGAAGTGAACAGGTGGTGAGCAATCAGGCAGAGCCAAAGGCTTGTGTGTGTCTGTGTGTGTGTGTGTGTCTGTGTGTGTGTGTGTGTGTGTGAGTGTGTCTGTGAGTGTGTGTGTGTGTGTGCCCTCCTCACCGCCCTGAAGGAGTTCTTCCGCTGCCGTTCCAATCAAATCCGGCTCATTGCGCAGCGCCTGCACGTAAATGTGCGGTTGGCGAAAGGGACGATCACTTCGCCAAATACATAGAAATCTGCTGCACACACACACACACACACACACACACACACACACACACACACACACACACACACACACACACACACGCACACACACACGCACACGCACGCACGCACGCACACACACACACACACATACACACACGCACACACACACACACATACAAGCGCACGCGCCAGTACTCACTCCAAGACGGCGAGGAGCTCGTGGACGTTCTGGATGAGCTGGCACGCGAGACTTGCTCGCCCAAACTGGGCCTCGTGATCCTCCTGCAGCCGCTCTGTGTGGCAAGTTGCATGGGAAGGGGTATGGGAGAGAGCGTAAGTACGCGCGTGCATGCGCTTGTGCAGAGGCACGATCCCTCGGCACGCATGGACACCCGCTTCCTTCGCAACGTGAAAACAGACCTTTGCGCCACATGGCGTGGTGCTCATTCAGGACCAACTCAAGCACACTGCAATCCGCATCATATGCCTTGAACTCCAGCGACTGCATCCCATTTGGGCACACGCACGCGCATTGTGTGTGTGTGTGTGAGTCGACATTTGGGACATCAGCGAGAGCAAAGGATGATGGCACATACTGCTTCGAGCACATGATCTTGCGATACAGGGGCAAGTTGTCACAAACAAAGCAAAGGCTGCACAAAGGCGACACGCACCTCGACGTATTCTTGGTAGCTCGAGGGAACAGCGTCACGCAGAGCTCTCACGTCCGCTTCGACGTCGTTGCCGTCATCGTCCAGCTGCTCGCCACTCCGCAACGCGTGCTCTGCACTCGCGAACGGCGCGGATCATCCGCAGTGAGCTAAGGTACACAGGAAGCAGCCATAGCAGAAGTACTGGGAGTCTCCGTACACACACGTACACGCACACACGCGCGCACGCACGCACGCACACACACCTACAGACAGACTGACCTCTGACGATGAACTGCGAGAGTGGTAGCGCTGCGGTACCGGCGACTCGATGGCGTTGCCTCCACCGCTCCTGCTCCTCCTCCACAGCATGGCTTCGTCGCTCCCTCTGCTGCCCATCAGCACCACCATTGCGCACCATTCTCCCTTCTCCTTCCACACCACGCCACCCTGAACACTGCAACAACACGAGCAGCACCAGCACCAGCACGAGCAGCAAGCTGTGTGTGTGTTGTCCTTCCTCCTGCACTGTCTTCTTCTCTGTCTTTTCTTCTGTCTTCGCCGCCGTTTTTTTGGCGCACTGCTTGATTGACAGTTGACGATAACAACAAAGATGGGTGGCAACAGGAAGGGTGGCAAGCACGGCGGCCACAAGAAGGGCGGTGAAGAGGATGACAAGCCCAAACAGCAACAGCAACAACAGCAACAGCAGCAGAAGCAGCAGCAGCAACAGCAGAAGCCTAAGAAGAAGCGGCTGTCGTCTGCTTCCAGTGACTTTACACCGCGACCAGCAGCACAGCTGTCTGGGCATCGGTTATCAACGGTGCGCCATGTTGTTTGTTTTGGTTTGGCTGTGTGTCTGGCTGTGTGTCTGTCTGTGTCTGTCTGTGTCTGGTGTGTGTGTGGTGTGGTGTGGTGTGTGTGTGTGTGTGTGTGTGTGTGTGTGTCTGTCTGTGTGTGTCTGTCTGTCTGTCTGTCTGTGTCTGGTGTGGTGTGTCTGTCTGTCTGTCTGTATGCGTCTGTCTGTGTGTGTGTGTGTGTGTGTTTCTCGCCTCCTTGCCCGCTTGCCCCCCCCCATCTGTCTGCCTACCTGCCTGCCCCTTTCTTTGTCCCTCCATCTCTGCCCATCTGTCTTGTGGTGTTGACAAACGCTTTCTGTTGCATCTCTGCTTGCCCGTCTGCACAGGACCTGGATGATGAGCCACCGACACCATCCCCGACCAAAACTCTAAGGTGCAACAACATTTAATTGGCATGCAGCCGCCCTGCTGCTCTCCCTGTGCTTCACTGGCGTCACGATCATGCGCACGCTCACTCACTCACTCACTCACTTACTCACTCCACTCACTCACTCACTCACTCACTCACTCACTCACTCACTCACTCACTCACTCACTCACTCACTCACTCACTCACTCACTCCACTCACTCCACTCACTCACTTACACTCATCGATCGCGATTACTCTTCTCTTGTGCAGACGCCAGCGAAGCCGCCACCTGTCTGCGTCTGACGATGTGTTTGCAGAGGAGGACGAGTTGAGCAAAGACCACCGCTCGCTGTCCATTCCTCCCGACGCGTTTGCGTTTGGAGACGACGATGACGGTGAAGCAAAGGATGGTCGGTCGAGGCCCGAGCACGGCAAGACAGATGAAAGGGCCGACACGGGCTCCAACGCCCTTGCCCCTCCGAGTGCCACCATGGAGGAGTATTATGAGCAGCTCACACAGTACATTGCACACGACGCAACGTGCGACCTCACAC